CTGGGCAGCGCGGGGGGGGTGGGCGCACGCGCGATCTTTCTCCGCGCCTCGCTCGCTGCCACAGGCAAGCGCCGGCGTCAAGTGGAACCATGGTAGAATCAATTGAAGGGGAACTGGAACACACAAATAAATACACACAAATAAAAATATCCCCCATATTTTCCCATATTTTCTGGGTTTTTGTCTTCCCCCCCACTGCCCATATTTTCCCATATTTTCTGGGGAATCGAGGATTAATTGTGTCTGTGTGTTTTTTTCCCTCCTGATCAATGGCTCCCCGAATCCGAACAAAAAGAACTTACAACTTCTCGAACTGGCTGCTCGGAGCGTGCCTCATCCTCACAGAGGGCTCACCCTTGGCGACAGCCTGCGTCTCTCCAGGGTTCCTTCTGCGTTCCACGCTCGGACAGCGACGCACGCCTGCCTCCTCCTCCTCCTCCTCCTCCTCCTTCTCCTCCTCCTCCTCCTCCTCCTCCTCCTCCTCCTCCCTGGACCGCCCGGGGGCCTCCTGGAAGCCTTTCCTGGGGTGGCCTTGGGCTTTCCCTGGGGCCCCCCAGGGTGTTCTGGAGCCTTGCCTGCTGCGCACGCTCCGGGACGCCTCGTCCCGCAGCGCCCGCCGTCGCGACGCCCGCGGCCCGCCGAGGGGGTCGAGGAGGGGGGGGAGCCTGCCTCCTCCTCCTCCTCCTTCTCCTCCTCCTCCTCGTCCTCGTCCTCGTCCTCGTCCTCCTCCTCCACCTCCTCCTTCTCCTCCTCCGCCTCCTCCTCCTCCTCCGCCCCGTAACCCTGGGGCCCCTCGCGAGCCGGGTCCGCCTCTGGAGCCCCTTCTAGCCTCGAGCCAGGCTCCCCGGAAGAGGGCGGAGTCCCTTCACGACCAGCCACGGATCTCTGTCTGTTTCTCTCTCTCTCTCTCTCTCTCTGTCTCTGTGTCTGTCTCTGTCTCTGTCTCTCTCTCTCTCTCTCTTTCTCTCTTTCTCTCCTTTCTTGTTATATCTAGATTTTTTTCTCTGTGTGTTTTTTGTGTGTGTCTCTCTCTGTCTCTCTCTGTCTCTCTTTCCCTTTCTCTTTCCTTTTTCTCTTTCTCTCTCTCTCTCTCTGTCTCTGTCTCTGTCTCTGTCTCTCTTGCTCTTGCTCTTACTCTTGCTCTTGCTCTTGATTTGCGCTCTCTCTCTCTCTCTCTCCTTCACCCTGTCTCTATATGATGCGTTGTTTTGTTATATCTCTCTTTCTCTCTCGCGCTCTCTCTCTCTCTCTTCCCTTTGTTTGATTTCTCTCTCTCTCTCTCTTTCTCGCTCTCTCTCTCTCTCGCCCCCTGTCTTTCTCCCTCATGATTTTTGTTTCTCTCTCTCTCTCTCACACTTTCTCTCTATAGTCTCGGCTCGAGAGCTTTGCTCCGAGCGAGCCCAGAAGCCAAGCGCCCCGCATCCCATCTTGCCTTGCGAGACCGGACATGACTCAGGTCGTGACATGTTGGCGTCCTATCCCTCGATCCTCACATGCTCACGGCCACGCCGCCATGGCGATGCCGCGCCGGCCACTTACGCAGTGGCACGTTTCACGGAGTACCAGCACGACCACCACATCCTCCACGTGCCCATCCTAGACGGCTGGCTCGCTCCCGCACCCCCTGCTCAAGTCGGGTCGGGCGAAAGGGGCGGATAGCAAAGGGGGGGGTTGAGAATCAGCTCACGTAGCTGATTTTCCCGGCGCCTCCCGGCGACGGGAGGCGCCCATGTATCGAGGAATGGGCCCCTCGGTGGGGCCGAAACCAGCTGCATGCAGCAAATTCCGTAACCCCCCCTTTCCCAATCCCCCCCTTTCGCCCGACCCGATCAAGCACCCTGTGCTTTTCGAGCGGCGCTCCGTGCAGACATCCGCTGCGCCGTTCTTCGCAGCCACCGCGCGGACCTTCAAGACCTACGTGGCGCTCTGCACGCCCGCGAATTAAAGGCCGCCGCGCTGCTGCGGCGGCCGGCCAAGATCCCGACCCAAACTGCTTCTCCGCTGTGCCCCCGCCCAGGGCCCATACGCGTCGACTAGTATTGCAACATGCGTGCTCCAGATTTCGTAGTAAAGGGAGGGGGGTCTCATTTCGGGGGGGGGGTCTCTTCCAGCCCATCTTGGAGGGCCTGGGGGGTCTGGGGACGATGCTTCGGAGGGTTCTCCCACGGGGGAGGTCTGAAATGGCTTGTCTTGGAGGTTCCAGACCCCCTCCCTTTTGTTACGAAATCTGGAGTACCGATCTCAGCCGTACGACCAGCTACGGCGGCCTCCGGCGACCACGCCGAGCACCGTCACCTCGCCCAGCACCAGGACACAGCACTGGCGCCCGCCCTGACGTCCACGCCGTCGCAAGCACCGACGCCTGCTCCCCTGGCTACGCCGACGCCAGCACCGACCCCAGCACTGACGCCAGCACTGACAGCGCCAGCACCGACGCCTGCGTCTACGCCGGCACCAACGCTGGCGCTTACGTCGGCATAGACGCCTGCACCGACGCCAACGCCGACGACAGCACTGACGACAACACCGACGCCAGAGCGTACGCCAGCACCGATGCCAGCATCGACGACGATACTGAGGTCGGCACTGACGGCGCCAACACCGACGCCCGCGCCTACGCCGGCGCCTACGCCAGCACAGACGCCAGCACCGACGCGAGCACCGACGCCAGCACTGACGGCGCCAGTACTGACTCCTGCGCCTACGCTGGCACCAACGCCAGCGCGTACGCCAGCACCGACGCCAGCACTGACGGCGCCAGCACCGACGCCTGCGCCTCCGCCGGCACCAACGCCAGCGCATACGCTAACACCGACGTCGGCACCGACGCCGACACCGACGTCAGGACTGACGCCAGCACTGACGGCGCATGCGCACATGCCTGCGCCTACGCCGACTCCAACGCCGGTTCCTACGACAGCGCTGACGCCAGCATCGACGACAGTACCGACGTTAGCACTAACGGCGCCAGCACCGACGCCGGCGCCTACGCCGACACCACCGCCGGTCCCTACGCCACCGCCGACGCCAGGAACGACGCCAGCACCGATGCCTGCGCCCGCGCCAGCACCAACGCCGGCGCCTACGCCAGCACCGACGCCAGCACCGTCGCAGTACTGTCAGTGCCAGCGCTGTCAGCGCCAGCACCGACGCCTGCGCCTACGCTGGCACCTACCCCAGCGCCTACGCCACCGACGACACCAGCTCAGGCGCCAGCACCGACGCCTGCCTCGTTCCAGCCGCCGATCGCGGTGGCCACGTTCTGGCCGCACCCCGCAACGTCCTCCCTCGTGGCGACAGCTTCACGCCGACGCCGGCTGCTACCGCCCGACTCCACCTTGCGACCCAGCACGACGCCACGGGAGCCGAGGACGCGACCCCGGGCGTGGTGGACATCAGCCAGAGAAGCCCCACTATGCTGCCCGCGCAGGCGAACGTCGAGACAGCGCTGCACGGCCTCCCCCCCGCTCACCTAGCCCCTCCGGGGCCTCGGTTGCGCGGACAGGACGCGGAGGAAAGAGGAGGCGGCGCTGATCACGACGACGACGACGGCGACGACGATGTCAGCAGTGACCGGGCACCTGCGACTACGCCGGCGGCTCCGCTGCAAGGACGTGGGCCTCACGCCCAGGCGCGCGCCGACGCGGAGTCCGACGATAATCCAGACGGCACCGCGCAATACAACCAGGCTTGCAAACCACGGTGGCATCTCGCGCGCTACCTCGGCCAATACTCCGCCACCGTTGGTCATGCCCGAGCTGCCAAACGTCGCTTGTCCATGTGGGTGCCGCCGAGGATCCAAGTTGGCACAGAGGTCATCGTTCAATGCCAGGTGCAACACCCCATCAACGGCCCACGTGGCATTGTCCGAGGCAGATCAGGTGACTATCCAAGACATTGGGCCGATCCGCTCTGCTCTGGCGATATCGCCCCCCTACTCCCTGCCAACCTGGCCGTTGATCCCACCGCGCTATGCCCAGAGGTACCGTTCCTCGACGCGCGCACTTCTCCAGCGGCACCAGCCCAAGGCCCCTCAACCATCTCCTCTCATCTCTCGCCCAGCCTTGTAGCTTGCCAGAAGAGGCAAGATAAGGACGAGGGAAGAAACGGATATGACAACGGCCACCACGACGACGACGCCGGCAACAGCGCCTCACCGCCCGCTGGCGTTCTGGTCGACCCTCCTGCAAGACCCTCCACGGCGACCGCCCGCGACCGCCCAAGACGACTCCGCAGACCGCCCTCATAGGATCACCTCGCCCTCTCACGACCATGCCCGTGCCGGCCCCCAGCGAGGCTGCACGAGCAGTCCCATGGCGGATTATGCGACGATGGACGCCCGCGCACGGCACCACCCTACCGCAACGCTCGGGGGCCACGCAGCGGCCGTGCCGACGCCAGTCGTGCGACCAGCCGCTGTGGCCACAACAGGCCGACGCCACAACAGTCCGACACCACAGTCCGTCCACACACAATGCGCGCACACCCCGATTGCGCTCTGACCACACAGTCAGACTCCACGGCAGCCGGACTCCTCAGTCTGCCCCCGAAGCCGGCTAACTCCCCGGGCCGGCTGCCCACGGTCTGACTCCACAGCAGAGCGACTCCACAGCAGCCTCCTGCAGCAATCCGATTCCACTGGTGGCGACGGGGACGTAAACGACGACGTTGGCCGCGAGCAGGTCACGCTGGACGCCGCCCCCCCTTGTCGCCGCGATGACGCACGACTGCGAACAGCCCCGCGACAGTGCAACGGCCGGCGGTCACGTTGTTGGCGTACCGACCGCAGTCGTACGACCAGCCATCGCGGCCACACCAGGGCGACTCTGCGGCCGTCCGACTCCACAATCCGACTACACAGCGCGCGCGCAGTCCGACTCCAGAGCAGACCGGCGAATTTACCATCTCTGACGGCCCCACCGCATCGGACGCGCCGCTTCCTTGCCTTACCAGGGCGCTGCTCTTCTGTGTGATCCGCAGCCACAGCTTCTGTGTGATCC